GGAAGAGTGTAAATATGACCAAAATATATTGCATGAAAAATTTTTTTGGTCTTTTTGAGACAGGGTTGTCTCTCTGTAGCCACAGCTGGCCTGGAACTCAGTATGTAGAGCAGGCTGGCCTCGATCTTATAGAGATCCGCCTGCCTCTGTCTCCTGAGTGCTAGGATTAAAGGCGTGCAGCACCACACCTGGCTTATGAAAGTTTCAAAAATTCAATTAATAACTTTTAAAAAAGTCTAACTTAGGGTCTGGCTTGGACAGCTCAGTAGCTGGGGGCAATAGTGCCACATAGAGTGATAGGAAGCGTGTGCTGAATATGAATGTCAAGTTCCATTTGCCATTTTAAGTTTATAGTGTCTCAGACATCAGAAGGGACAAAGGGCAGCAGGCAGTTGGAGCCAAAGTCACATGGGAATGGTCTTTAGAGCCTGAGAATGAGCAGGATCAGCAGCGTGCCATGCAGCTAGTACATGTAAGGACTTGCTCCTTGCAGAGGTGACCTGCACCTTGCAGAGGTGGGTAGAGAGAGCCTGAGGAAAGCTCAGTGTCAGGCAGGGCAGAGAGAAGAGCAGTCAGGGGAGTGAGGCTGCATGGCTGAATGTAACCAAGAGATCTGATAAAGTCTGAAAGAGGGCCAAATGGATTTGGCCACGTGAAGTGGTGTGCGAGATATTTGGAGTGGAGGGGGTGGGAGCCAGCTTGGAAGGCACTGAAGAGAGAGATGATAAAGAACAGGGTTGGGGTTGGAGCTGGAAGGGGTATTGTGTCAAAGAAGTCCCTCCTGACCTTTACTTCCCTCCAGTCTTCTGTCCCACTCCTCCCTGTCTTCCCCTTCCTCCTCCTCTCCTCTTCTTCCTCTTTCTCTTTCTTCCTTCTGGAATGGGAGTTACCTGGACATGTTTGATTTTGAGATGGCCCCAGCTGACTTGAGGAGTCTGCTTTCTCCCTTGCTTTCACTTTGAATACAATTTGTCCCTGCAAACCTTTTTTCCTGCCTTAAAAAAGGAAGAGCCAGGGGAAGTTGCTGGGAAGAAGGTTCAGCAGGAGAATGGGGGTGGGAACGATAAAACTGTATCATAGATTAAAACAACAAAAAGAAAAATGCAGATTATTAATTAAAATAATAAAGCCAAGTGCCTATGGCAAAAATATTGTAAAGAAGGATGTGCATATATCATATTCAGATTTATGCCATTTTATATAAGGAATTTTTTTTTTGGCTTTTTGAGACAGGGTCTCCTTGTAGTCCCAGCTGACCTGAACTTACTACGTAGACCAGGCTGGCCTTGAACTCACAACAATCTGCCTGCCTCTGCCTCCCGAGTGCTGGGATTAAAGGCGTGCACCACCACGCCTGGTTTACATAAGGAACTTTTGAGACAGGGTCTCATGTATCCCAGGCTGGCCTCAAACTCACTAAGTATCTGAGGAGAACCTTCAACTTCTTATCTTCTGACTTCTACCTCCTAAATGCTGGCATTATAGTCATGTACCACCAGGCCCCATTTGTGCATGCTAGGCAAGCTCTCTACCAACTGAACTACCTCCTCAGCTCCTTATATCAAGCTTCAGTGATGTGCATATTTACAGAAGATCCTTGTGCTCGATAGCTTGAGTTGTCAACTTGACACACCTGGGTCAAGGGAGCCTCAAATGGGGAACTACCTCCATAGGACTGGCCTACAGCAACCATGTCTGTGAGGCATCTTCTTGATTGATGAGCGATGTGGGAGGGGCCAGCCCACTGTGGGTGGTGCCACCCCTGGGAGGTGGGCCTGTGTTGCATAAGAAAGCAGACTGAGCAGAGGCCAGGGGAGCAAGCCTGTAAGCAGCGTTCCTTCATGGCCTATGCTTCGGCTCCTGCCTCAAGGTTCCTACCCTGAGTTCCTATCTTAGGCTCCCTGATGAACTGTGACCTGGGTGATGTAAGCCAAATAACCTCTTTCCTTCCCAAGTTGGTACTGGTCAGAATGTTTTGTCAGAGCAATGGAGAAGCAAACTAGAACAATCCTGAAACCAATTTCCTGTGGACCCCAAGGGACAATGGTAATTGGAAACCGAAAAACATGCTTCTGAGTAGGTCACTGATCAAAGAAGAAAAATTATAAAACATTTTGAAGTGAATTATGAAAACAGAACACATTTAAATGTGTAGAATATACCTGAAACTCTGCTTAAAGTGAAAGTTTAAATTTTTTTAATTATGTACATATTTTGCTTCTGTGTATGTAAGTGCACCACATGTGTATACAATGCCCATGGAAGCTAGAAGAGGGAATCCGATTCCCTGGAGCTGAAGTTATGGATGGTTGGTAGCTGTCATGTGGATGCTGGGAACCATCTCTCCAGCCCTCAAAGTTCTAGCCTTAAATGCTTACAGGAGAACAGAAGAAGCTGGTGTGGGAGTATACATTTCAGCTACTTGGGAGACTGAGAAGGGAGGATTGCGTGAATTCATGAGTTCTACACCAGTCTGGGCAATAATGCAAGACCTTAAAGCAAAACAAAACGAAACAAAACAAAACAAAAAATCCACCCCACCCCCCCACCCCCAGTTTCAAGAGGGCAGTGAGATGGCTCAGCAGGGCAGAGGTGCTTGGCACCAAGCCAGATGTTCTGAGTTCAATCCTAGTAACCCACATCATAGAAGAGAAGCAACTCCTATAAGTTGTCTTCCAGTCTCCATAGGGCTGCTGTGGCACATGCACACTTGTGTGTACACACACACTAAATAAATAAATGTAAAAAAAGGCAGTTTTAAAATCAATGAGGCTAGCCAGCTGTGGTGGCACATGCCTTTAATCCCAGCACTCAGGAGGCAGATGCAGGTGGATCTCTGTGAGACTGAGGTCAGCCTGGTCTACATAGGGAGTTCCAGGGCCGCTGAGGCTACAGGGAGACCCTGTCTCAAAGAACAAACCACCACCACCACCACCACCAAGAACAAACAAATCAGTGAGGCTGTTGCAAAAGGAACTGGAAAAATAAGCAAAAGGAAGGAAACGCTCAGCAATGGATATTAACAAAATAGGAAGTGGAGAAATAATTCAGAAAATAAATAAAATTTTCCAAATTAGTAATTTTAAATTCTCAGTAAAATAGATAAACCTTTATTCAAGAAAAAAAAAAGGAAGATGAGTATAGTGGTGTATCCGTGTAGTCTGTTACTGGGGAGACAGAGACAGGATTGCTTGAGTACCCCCCCCAAAGGAAAGAAAACATTCTACAGATGGTAAAAGGATAAGTGAGTGTTAAGGGACTACACCAGCATAAATGAAATGGACAAATCTCTTAAAAAAATAAACACAAATGATAAAAATTGATTCTGGAAGCCAGGTGTGGTGGACCAAAAAAAAAAAAAAAATCAACTCAGGAAACAATCTGAATTGCCAAATATATAATTTATTATTATTATTATTATTGATTTTTTTTGAGACAGGATCTCACTGTGTAGCCCCAGCCAATGTAGAACTTGCTGTGTACACCAGGGTGGCCTCCAACTCAGAGAACTGCAAGCTTCTGCCTCCCGAGTGCTGGAATTAAAGGTGTATGCCACCATGCCTGGCTAAGATACTGAATTTCTAATCAAAGCTTTCTGATAGGAAAGATGTAGAGCCTAGTGGTAGAGCCTACGAGGTCCTAAGTTCAATACCCATTACAGCAAAAACCAAAAATCACAAACCCCAAAATAAACAAAACTACAACTCCTCCATATCAAAAGCAAAACTGAATCAAAATGGCTTCACCTGTGAATTTATGAAACATTTAAAGAAAAAATAACATCAAGCATGCACACACCCTTGAAGAAAACAAGTAGATGAGAATATTTTCCGACTTGTTTTATGAAGCTCAGATACCCAAGCCAGAAAAGGACATTACTAGAAAACTACATAATTATCTCTCAAGAATATAGGTACAAAAACTGCAGATAGGGGCCACTGAGATGGTGAGATGGTTCAGCAGGTGAAGGCATTTGCTGAGCAAGCTTAGAGATCTGAATTCAACCCACATGAATGTGGAATGAGAATTGACTCTTGAAAGTTGTCCTGACCTAGACACATGTTGTGGCTTGCGCACACGCACACACACACACACACACACACACACACACACACACACACACTAATAAGTAGTAAAAATTTAAAAACACAAAAAATTGAGCTGGGCATGGTGGCGCACACCTTTAGTCCCAGCACTTGAGAGGCAGAGGCAGGCAGATATGAGTTCGGGGTCAGCCTGGTCTACATAGTAATTTTCAGGCCAGCTGAAGCTACAGGGAGACCCTGTCTCAAAAAAGGACACCCGCCCCAAATTTGAAGATGTTATCAAATGAAATTCAGCAAAACAAAAAAGATAACACAAGTGTGGTAGAACATACCTTTAATCCTAGCATTCAGGAAGCAGAGCAAGCCGATCTCTGTGAGATCAAGGCCAGCCTGATCTACATAGTGAGTTCTAGGCTAGCTGGGGCTACAGGGAGACCCTGTCTCAAAAAAAAAAAAGATAACACAGCTTGACCAAGTATAATACTGTTTTAAGAAAGGAATGATGCAGAGGATCAAGCTCAGTTCCCAGTACCCATGTTGGGCATCTCACAGCTGCCTATAGCTCTAGCTCCAGGGAATCTGACGCCTCTGACCTCTATAGGTGCCTGCACACATGTGCACATATCCCCTCCCCACATGTATAATTAAAAATAATTTTTAAAAATTTCAAAAGAAATGCAAGTCTGATTTAACATTTCAAAATCAACGTGATCACTGCCTCGACAGAATAAAGGAAAATCTCATGCTCATCCCAATAGATGAAGAAGCACCATTCAAAGCATCCTGTAACACTCCTTCCAATTCAATGCCATTTCTAACAAAAATTCTCAGACAACTAGGATTAAACTAATGAAACACATCTATGGCAATCCCATAGCTAATTCATACTAATGGTGAGACAATGTCTATAACCAAGACCAAGACCAAGATGCCCACTTCTTTTTTGAGCACAAAGAGCATAGATTTATTAAAGAAAAGTGAAAAGAACTCGTGAGAGTGGGAGGGGTTTCAAGAGAGGAATAACCCACTTTCACCACTTGTATTTAAAACCTACAGGACCTAGTTAGTGCAACAAATCAAGGAAAGGAGCTAAAAGGCATATGTCTTTATTTTCTGATGAAATGATTGTATACACAAACTATCCCAAAATATTCACCCCCAAAGAAGTAGAATGAGTGAGTGCATTTGAGCAAGGTCACAGAATAAAGACCATAAGCAACATTAATTGCATTTCTATACATGATCACTAGACAATTAGGAAATGAAGAGAAACAGGTAAGAAAAACGTTAATGGCACAGGACAGGATTAGGTAGCAGCACTGCAGATCTGTCCTCAGTCTGGGCATGGCTAACAGAATAGGAACAAGATGGTGGGGCCCGAGTTTTGGCTGGATACCCAAGAACCCTGAGACATGAAGCATCAGGAAAGTCCAAGGCTCTCCGTGCAATAAACTTAAGTATAGCCAGACAGCCAAACATAAGCTTTTATTACTTGAGGACAACTTGGACTTCACCAATGCCTAGCTTTACAGGGGCATGTAGTGTGACTCATGATCTTGAACACAGAATCACTGAAAGCCTGGGCTTCATAACCCTGGGCTACTTTTGAAGACACATGGTTTCACAAAAACTTGCTTCTTAAAATGTAATGTTTTCTTTTCCTCCACATGCCTTCTGCTTTGCTCTCAATTTCTGCTTCTTGGGGCTTCTCACTGTCCGGGTATTACAAAGCTCAGCTTTGCTGTACCTTTCTGCCATAACCTGTGCCCAGGTCTGTGGGTCAACACTGGGTCTGGGGGTGGATGAGGCTGGTTCAGAGGTATCTGGCAAGGCCTGCATACACCAGCCTGACATGGTGCTCTGCCAAACTCTCAGCGCTGTTAGTCTGGCTAGTGGGCTGAACTGTAGGCTACTCTGGCTTCATTTATACAATTTACAAGAGGCTGTGAGGGCCCTGAGCCACACGTGCTTGCTGTGCACACAGCTGCTTTCTTTTGTGGCTCTAGGGAAGCTCAGCGGAACAGGCTAACAGTTACTACAGGCCTGGGCTGCAGATACCTCGTCTAGCTCTTGGGAGTGCCAGCTCCCACCGTGCCAACAACCACTTGCCTCCCCTGCTCCTGTGTAGCTAGGAGTCTGCTGTCACATGCCACCACACCTTTAGGTACTATCTTACCCTGTTTCCAAATGTGGCCTCAAGGCAGGCCTTTGGGATGGCCTGCCCTATCAGCTTTCAGCAGCTGCCCTGGCCCACCCTGCCTGTGCCCACACCCCAAGAACAGTAGGGTCCACCACCCTCTTTCCCTTGCCAGGGTGGGCCTCCACCCATGCTGCCTTTGGCCTGCTAAGGAGATTGTACATCATGAGAACTTCCAACCATGAGAACTTATGACTTCTGAGTTTGAGGGATTTGCCTGGGTGAACAAATCAGCTCTGAAATTCGTCACTTTCTTCAGGCCCCTGTCTGTTTTCAGGTTCCAGGGCCAAGCCTATGGAAGACGAAATACCACTTAGCAAACAGGGGACAACTTGTCTTCTAAAAGCCCTGACCTGAAAGCTCAGCCATGCCTCCTGAACTCATAGAGCACTCTTTGGAACCAAGGTTATTCTTTATTTTTGTTAGCTTAATTTTTCTTTTTGAGACAGGGTCTTGATATGTACTTCTGGCTGGCCTGGAACTCACTATGTAGACCAGGCTGGCCTTGAACTCATAGAGATCTGCCTGCCTAGGCATCCTGAGTACTATGATTAAAGGCATGTGACCGACAACCTTGCTTAAAAATATATTGTTTATTTCTGTGTATGTGTCCTTGTGTGACTTTTATGCACACCACCTGAGTGCAGATGCCTGTGGAGGCCAGAAGAGGAAGTTGAATCTTCTGGAACTGGAGTTACAGGTTAATTGTGAGCTCTCTGATATGGGTGCTGGAAAATAAACCAAGGTCATCTGTAAGAGCTGTATGTGCCCTCAGCCACTGAGCTATCTTTCCAGCCCCTGTTAGTTTGCTTTTATATTTCTTTTACCTTCTTAAAACATATTTTATTTATTGGGGGCTGGAGAGATGGCTCAGCAGTTAAGAGCACTGGCTGCTCTTGTAGAGGACCTGGGTTCGATTCCCAGCACCCACATGGTGGCTACGAACCATCCTTAACTCCAGTTCCAGGGGAATCCGAAGCCCTCTTCTGATCTCCGCAGGCATTGCATGACACGGGTGCACTCACATACATGCAGGCAATACGCTCATACACATAAAATAAAAATAGTAAATACAATATTTTTAAAAGCATTTTATTTATTATTTTGTGTATATGAGCATATTGCCTGCATGTATGTAAGTACACCTGTGAAGTGCAATGCCTGTGGAGTTCAGAAAAAGGTGTTCGATCCCCTGGAACTGGAGTTAGAGATGGTTGTTAGCCACAATGTGGGTGCTGGGAATCAAACCTGGGTCCTCTGCAAGAACAGCTAGTGTTCTTAACCGCTAAGCCATCTCTCCAGCCCCTACTTTTTTTTTTTTTTTTTTGAGATAGGGTCTCACTATGTAGCCTTGGCTAGCCTGGAACTCACTATGTAGACCAAGCTGGTTTCAAACTCACTGAGGGCTGGAATTAAAGGTGTATAACATCTTGCCCAGTGTAGTCTGCTTTTTGAGACAGAGGTCTCAAAGCCATCTTTGAGTCATCTTGTACCTCATGTACCCTAGGCTGGACTCAAACTTGCTATGTAGCAGAGACTGACCTTGACCTTCTAATCCCCCTGCTTCTACTTCCCAAGTGCTAGGATTACTGGCCTGTCCCACCATGACCAGTTAAGGCTTTCTATTATTTCTAAACAGCAGCTCTTCAAATAGTATCTGAAATGGAAAATTCCTGCTGGGGCTTCACATTTTTTAGGACAATGGAGAGGACTGGCACCCACAGGTGAAGGGAGGGTGTCTATCACTGGATAGTAAGGGACGAAGCCAGAGACCTCCCTATAGATATCAAAGGTAGGCTGGGCTGCCAGCCATCATTAAACGGAGTGGCTTGTCTGGCTATCCCATATTCTTGGTGAGTTAGGGGGCTTGATCATGCAGCCAGAATAAATGTTCTGCTGTTTGGGGTTGGCATTAGAAAGGCCTGTGTGCCCTGGAGGTAAGCTACTGGGCTCAGTGTATGAGTGTGGGGGGGGGGACGACAATGCTCCTCTGGGGTCTACTCTCTAGGAAGCTGACCTGGAAGTATCTCCAAGTACCTGGGAGAGAGCCTGACGACAATAGTTGCAGGCTGTCCAAGACCCCTTCCTCATACAGGGCGAGCTTCTGCACCATCTTCTGTCGGGCTGGGTTGATGATGATCTGCGGTGGCTCCGATGATGACAATGAGGAGGAGCTGCCAATGGATGAACCTAGGAAGAGACAGCATCCTTTCAGCAGCCCCTGGCAATGCTCAGTGACACTCTAGCCTCCAAAGCATTCCTAGCCCCCACTGAGCACCCTATGTTGCTGGCCTCGGGGCAGAATTCCCCAGACCAGGGCTAGGACAGGGGTCACACCATGGACCTGGCTCCCAGGCCAACCAGAACCTTCATTTTTTTCTTTTTGAGACAGGGTACTATAGCCCCAGCTGGCCTGGAACTTGCTATGTAGATCAGGCTGGCCTCAGTCTCACAGAGATCCATGCCTACCCCTGCTTCCCAAGTGCTGGGATTAAAAGCATGTGCTACCTTGCCTAGCAAAGAACCATCACTTTTGGCTTTCAGGCACAGGGCAGGGAGAAGGGATAGAAGAGCTCTCCAGCTCTCCTCATCTGTGTGAGGGCAGAGCCTGGGGAGAGGAAACAAGACAGTGCCAAGCCACTTTCTGTGGCCCATTCTGTGGCCTTGAGCTTGCTAAGGACATAGCGAGCCAAACAGTTGGTCCCAGTTCCCTCCTTTCAGAAGACATGGGTGAGGAATAAGGAGCCTATTGTCAAAGGAGCCCCCCCATCCCATGTTCCCACAGCTACCTTCCATGGCTGTGGGCCGGAAGCTTGAGACGCTCCCCAAACTTGATTCTCCAGTAGTACCCCCTTGAGTACAGCTAGCCTCCCTGAGGGATGCTGGGTTTGGGTGGCAACTTGGAGTCAAGTGCCAGGAGTGTAGGGCAGCAGAGAGGTAGGGCACACTCTCATCACTCTCCACAGGCTGGTTGGGGCTCTTCTGGAATTGCTGGGCAGCCTGGGCTTGGGCTCCTGAGGGCACTGCCAGGGGCTGCAGTGGTGCACCCCCACTCTGGCCACTGCCACTGGTAGACATGTAGGAGTTCTCCTGTGGGGAAGGGGGGCCGTGACCAGCAGCCTCTGACTCCCAAAGAGGCCCTACCACTGCTGCCTGCAGCCTCTCCAGTCCCTTGTACACCTGTGTAGAGAGAGAGGGTCTCAGGATGTGTCAAGTTGCTGCTCCTAGCTGGGAAGGGCAGCCCTGGCCTGACACCCTGTGGTCAAACCACAGAGCTGCTCCAGGTTTGCCTTGACCTGTCTGGGTTCTTCTGGTTGCTACCCTAAGTCCTATAAGCTGCAGGAACAGCAGGAACCCCAAGCTGGTGCACACTGCAGCTGGGAAAGCACCACCCCGCTTCTTTGTACCATCACAAGGACTGCAGAGACAGCCACCAAAACCAAGGACTATTCTCAACTGTCACCAGAGTAAGAGGTGGAAGGGAAGAAAAGAAGTGCACCACCGCCCACAGAACCAAAGGATAAGCAAGTGACGCTGGGAGTTTTGCCAGATTGCTCAAACTGCTGTTGAGCAGGGCAAGAATGCTAGGTGTCACTGGCCACCCTGTCCACATGGACATCTGGCTTCTCAGGGGTACCTGGGTCATGGGGGGCCTCTTCTTGGCCCTGCGGTGCAAGCAGCAGCAAGCCAGTTGAGCCAGAGTCAGGCCCAACTGGGGTGTGCAGGGCCCAGGCCTAGGGTCCAGGTGTTTCTTGTAAATCTGGGCAGCAATGGGAGCGGCCCAGGCATCTGCTGCCAGACCCATCTGCAGAGTGCTCTGGGTGCTTTTCAGGACCACCCCAGCCTCCTCAGCCTCATCTTCAACCAGGTCTTTCTGTTTGACAGAAACCAGGAGCACGGTCACTACCAAATCCACCAGATTGCTGCCACTCAGTCCTCTGATCTTCTTTCACTAGATTTATTAAACACCCACTGTGGGCTCAGTCAGTGCTACTCCAGACTCCAGTAATACAGCCACAAACCAACACTTTGGGATCAGCTTTACAGAGCTGACATCCTGTTGCAGTGGGGAAAATAGATGCCAACAAGCTTATTAGCTTGTTAGCAAGGCCCAGGGGCCCATCCAAGTGACACTTGAGTTAAGATGTGCTGACGATTGTAGAAGGTAAAGGATCAAGTTCTTGATCTCAGAGGGACTCAGCCCAGCCAACAAACTAACAGTCGACAAAGGCTCCATCCGGACAGAGAAGCAATGGGAGATGTACAACAGATGGATGGTGAAGAGCCAGCACTGGCTAAGCATGTTCTGGGCCAGGGATTGCTGGAACACTGCCCACGTGTTAAGTCTGTTTTACTAAGTGAAACTGAGGCTCAGTGAAGAGCAGGAGTTTGATCCATGCCCACTATTAAGTTGGGACTAAAATCCAGGTTTCTTGTCTCTTGTGTCTTTGAAACAGGATCCCGTATAGCCCAGGCTGCCCTTGAACTCATTATGTAGCTGAGGATGACTTTGAACTCCTGATCCTCCTGCCCCTACTTCCCAAGTGGTAGGATTACAGGCATGTGCCACCATACTTAGCTATTATTTTTTGAGACAGGCTCTTGTGGTGTAGCTCAGGCTGGCTTCTAACTCCTAGGTATCCTTTTACTTAGCCTCTTGGGTACTGGGACTACAGGCATGTGCCTTCATGCCAGGCTTCAGGTCTCTTCCTATTATTATTATTATTATTATTATTATTATTATTATTGGTTTTTTTTAAACAGGGTCTCCCTATAGCCCCAGCTCGCCTAGAACTCACTATGGAGACCAGGCTGGTCTTGATCTCACAGAGATCTGCCTGTCTCTGCATCCTGAGTGCTGGGATTAAAGATGTGCGCCACCATGCCTGGCCTAGGTCTCTTATTTCTTTTTCTTCTTTTTTTTTCTTTTTGGTGTTTTTGAGACAGGGTGTCCCTATAGCCCCAGCGGGCCTAGAACTCACTATGTAGACCAGGCTGGCCTTGAACTCAGAAGAGATCCGCCTGTCTCTGCCTCCTGAGTGCCGGGACTAAAGGTACGTGCCACCACGCCCAGCTAGGCCTCTTATTTCTTAGCCCCATTTTAGTGCATGGCAAGACAGACAGGAATGCAGGGGGTAGCTCCAAGCAGGCAGTGTACACCTGCAACTTGCATGGTAGGAGCAGGGAAGGCTTCTCAGCTTGATTCTCTACCACTGCCTTTTCTGGGCCCTGCCTTCTTTGAGCTCCACTGCAGGTCTGGTCCCAAGGTACTAGGAGTGTTCCTCTCCCCGTCCCCAGCCCAGGGCAGGTGGGGTCTGTCAGGGCTCATTTCTTTTCCATCCTAGTGGAACCTGAGGCCTGTACATAAGCACTCTACCACGGATTTATAGCCCTAGCTCTAAGTCCCATATACAGAAGAAAAAAGATTTTTCCTTCCAAGGTCAAGGAAAGTGTTTTGAGAGCCACCTGCTTTTAAATAGGAGTCAGCACTAGCTGTGGCACACTGCTGTGGGGTGCTGTAATTAATTACCCAAATCATTCCACTCTCTAGGGCTGTACCTGTTGGCTGCAGCAGCACTCCCCCCGGCCCCGTGCCCCACCTCAGGAGGCTCACCAGATACTTGGTCCTGGTACCATGTATCCTCACAGCCCTCTGGCCAGCCAGGGTCTCCAGTATTACCTAGAGGGGGTTGAATGGAGAGCATCACCCAAGTCCTTAGCAGAAAGACACTGTGTGCAGAAAGGAAGCCTCCAGAGTGCACATAGATCAGAGCTGATGGGGACACAACCCTAGGACAGGCAGGTGAAGACCACCTCCCATCAAGGGCAGAGCTAGCTGTTATGGGACTGAAGCTTAAAGTCATAAGGATGGGTTATTTGAAGCAAAAGGCTGCAAAGTTACAAACACAAAATTAGTGCAGGGAAGGAAGGAGGCTACATGAAGGAGGGTGGGTCCTAGACCAAACCTCTGGTAGCTTCTCACCAGCTTTGCCTCTGTGCACAATTCTCCAGGCCCTCCTGCCTTTGCTTACTGGTGATTTTCCCTCCCCAAGCCAACAAAGAGACTAGTGGCTTACCACCCCAAAGCTGAAGGTGTCAGTGTCCACAGCTAGCCGGCCAGTCTTGATGTACTCCTCAGGCAGGTAGGCGAGGGTGCCCCGTACAGTGCTAGTTCGGGCCACGGCACTGCTCTGGCCTGGGTTGGCCCCAGTGAAGCGACTAAAGCGAGCCAGGCCAAAGTCTCCCAGTTTGGGCATCAGTCTCTCATCCAGAAGCACATTGGAACTTCAAGAGGGAAGAATGCCATCAGCTCTGGCTGGGCCCTAGTCTGCCCTGTCCCAAATACCTGAGTGGCCCTGGTAAAATTGGACTGGAGGCTGCCAGGCTCGTGTACTATTCATGGAAAGTGGCTGGCACTGCCCTGAACATCCTAGGTATTTGAGGGCCTGCTGTCCCAGGGTACCCTCACAAACCTTGGTCTTTGCTTATCACTGTCACTGGTCTCAATTCCATACCTGCGCCATGCAGAGATGCTCAGAGCCTAAAGGACTCCCAGCTCTGAGTTCCTAGGCTGTACCTGTGCCCATGTCCATAGGACTGGGCAGGAGGACTCTCACAGGGGCACTCAGAGCAGGGCTCTTTACAGAGCAGGGACTGTTCCCCTGGCCAAAGGGTCTGCCTACAATTCTTCTGAGCCCCTCCTCACCTCTTGATGTCACCGTGGATGAGGCTGGGGCTGTCCTGATGTAAAAACTGAATAGCTCGGGCTGTGCCCAGAAGGATGTCCAGTCGCTGAGGCCAGGAGAGGGGGGGGCAGGCCTGGGTCTGGGATGGCAAAGATGGAGACACAGGGGCAGCTGGGGGTGGCTGTTCTGTGACCCCCAACATTACCCTCACCTGTCACTCTGTGGCCTGGAGCAAGCCATCCATTTTACTCTCTGAACCTCAGTTTCCCTATCTGGACAATAAAGGAGCAAGACTGTCCATGACCTAGTTCCTAAGCAAGTGGTGACTAAAACTATTCCTAAGGTTCAGGAAGGCACTCTGCAGTTAGGACACTAGCTGGGGAATGTTTCTCAGGATTCAGGACAGAACATGATGGGCTTGGGTTCACCGGAGGAGATCTGGAAGGTGCTGAAACTGTCTCCCTTCCCTCCCCCAACATAGCTTAAATGAGGAGCAAGGAAACTCTTATCCCGTGTGTATGGAGAATTGTAGGTACAACATTCAGGTAGGGCCCAACTGTGGGCCCAGTTGGATAGCCTGTGTCCACTGGCCCATTCCTCAAGAACTATGCAGAGTAAATCCTTCCTCTACTCTGCTTGTAAAATTAGTAACCCCTTCTTTAGAGGAGCAGCCAGGGAGGGCCACAGCAAAGAGTTCTATGGAAAATCTTGGGCTAAGCTGGGTGTAATGGTACATGCTTATAATTCTAGCACAGGGAGACTGAGGTAGGACCTCCAGTTGGAGGCCAATGGAGGCTGTATGAGATACTGTCTCAAATAAGCAAACAGAAAGGAAGAAGGAAAACCTTGGGCTAAACTCTTGAGTTTGCAGCGAGGGGGGTGGGGGGGGTGGGGTTAAAAGGCAGGTCCTGTCTGACACAGGCTAAGTGCCCAGCTCTGCCTGGGTGCCAAGAGTGTTGCAGTTACCAGGAAAGGTGCCAAGCCAGCTGAGACTACCTGAAGGTGGAGACGGTCCTCCAAGGAACCATTGGGCAGGAAGCCGTAGACGAGGCAGTAGAAGCCACTCTCGGCACAGTAGCCAGCAAAGTCCACGATATTTGGGTGACGAAACCTGTTAGAAAGAGTACAGTCTGAGCTCTCTGGTTCCCTTGGCCTCACCACTTTTCATCTGGTCAGACTGGGTGGGTAGGCCTTGTTCCCTCACCTGGGCCTGGCAGGCCTAGGGGGCCCAAGGGAGCCAGGTCCTGTGGTGTGCAGTCTTAGAGACTGATGAGAGCCTGGTGCGGCTCTCCTTGTGCCCCCATCCAGGAGAGACCCTAGAGGCTCACCTCGACAGCTGCTCCACCTCTGTTAGGAAGCTCTGCTTCACCACAGTCCACTCTAGGTCAGCCTCCTGCAGCCCCAGGTATGGTGGGGGAAGAGGCAGGGAGAGTAGGCAGCATGAGCCAGGCTTGCCAGCTGTTTCCAGGCCCAGAACAATGGAGGGCTTGGGCCCCTTGAACTGGAATCAGAGGGCTGAAGGAATTGCTTGGGGAAGCTGGAGGCAGGGGACTGCAGAGGTGAGGGCTGATGATGGAGGGGAGGGACTGGAGAAGCAAGGGCTAATGATGGTCTTCTGGGCCTCCACCCCACGTCACACCTACCTCCTTCAGCCTCTTCACTGCATATGTGGTATTTCTCATCACTGCCCGGTACACACACCCAAAACCACCCTCTCCAATCCTCTGCTCCTCTGAGAAGTTGCAAGTGCCTTGGGAAATCTCACAGAAGGGCCAGCAAAATGGGGAGGGGTGGGCTCTTTCCAGGCTGGACACTGGTGTCTCTGGGCTTGACTGTTGGGAAGAGACTATGGATTAGGTGAGGACCCTGTCTCTTCTCCTTGGTACAGGTTGTAAGCTCCACCCAAGGCTTTCAGATCTTTCAGATAACCCAGCTGGGCTGATGTGGGCTGTGGTACACCAAAGACCATTTCTTTCTCCCTGTCTGGAATTTTTCCTGGGGGACAGGGGGCACCTACCTTGGTAGAAGAAGGGGCAGAAGATGGCAGTGGTGGTCCAAAGGAAGCAGGGCTTGGAACCCGGGGAAGCTGAGTCTCTGAATGGGTCTGGGAGCCTGTAAAAGCTTCATAAAGATGCCAGTGAGAGGCAGAGAGCAGCAACAGAGTCTACAACCATAGCAAGAGTCATGGTGGTCTTTTCCTCTGGTCCTTGATGGACAACACCCAGGCCCTCTTACCTGGGGAGAGGAAGGTGGAAGCAGAGGACTGTAATTTCCGGGGGCTCCAGTCCCCAGCCTTGGTGTCTGCAGAGATGCTGCTGGGCCTTGGAGCAGTGGTGCTTGGGGGCAAAACAGGGGCAGGCGGGTGCCCTGGGAGATCAAGGAAGGAAGGGAGAGTTGAGGGACAAGTATGTGCGTGGGGGTCCCATATGGTCCCCTGTCTCGAGAGGCTTTGTGCTGGTCACCTCCCATGGGTCCCCATCCCTAGGGTCCCTGGGGCCCGTGCGCGCTCACAGGCTGTGATGATGTCCCGAGCACGCAGCAGCTGCAGGTGCGTGAGGATGTGAACGAGGTCAGCCACGCGCGCGTTGCGGTTGATCCAGGGCCACAGGACGCTCGCCGTACGCTGGCCCGAGCGCTCGCACAGCCGCAGCTCCGTCTGGTCACGCACAATCAGGGCAGCTGTGGGGCAGGGGACGTCAGGCCTAGGTCCTGCAGCCCGACTACCCCCACCCCCCACGCCGGCCCGCCGCCACCCACCGAACTGGCACCAGTCGGCGGGCTCCAGGGCGTCCATCACTTTGTAGAAACGGCACATGACCCAGGGTGGCACCTCGTACAAGAAGTGCTGGGCGCCCGGCACCGCGGGCTCCCCCGGGCCCGGCCCCCCGGCCATGGCCG